ACAGAACTTATTTTCCAAAATAGAAGGAAGATGAGAAAAGGGGAAAAAAAATCAACATTAATGAGAATACAGAGGTGAGAGAAAAAAGATTTTATATGAATACTGGTGTGAACAGTGAGATCTCAGGCAAAAGCAGTTAAAACAGTTTTCTAAAGTAGAACATTTATTACATTTTCACTTGTGTGATCTTCAACACACTGGTAAATATTTTAACTTCTTTTCAATTTTTTTTAAAATAGTGGACGAATGAGTATTTAAAAGTTGTCCTAAAAGTGACCCTATTACATTAATTACAGTCACAATATATTGTGTTATTACATAGTGGTTATCCTTGGTGAGAAAAAAAAACTGTACTGAATTTCCAATCCTAGAAACCAGTATTACACTTTAATCATCTATCCCTATCTTGCTACACTGTCATACATAGTGAATGTCAACCTAATTCTCTGAAGATTCTTCTGGAAGACTCTGTGATACAAGTAGCTCCTTAACTGTGTTTCTAAGAAAAGAATAGCCTTACCTGCTATGCTTTTCTTCTTTTTAAACATACGTTTTATGTTTAATTTTTTTCTACATGCAATGTTTTCCAAGCCAAAGTGTTCAGCTAACCCTGTAGGTTAGTACCATTCATAATATCAAAATGCAAAGAGAAAATAGTAAGTAGACTTTTCCTATGGAAGTTTTTATTGATTAGGTTTTTTGTTCATGTTGGCAAATTTGTATTGCTTTAATCCTGTCCTATAATATAGACCAAAAAAAATGTTGGGGATATATATTAAAAGCTGATCTTTCTATAATACATGAGTGAGGCAGGGTCATACCACTTAGTATCCTACATGGCACCTGATAATGATAATGATAAACTCACATCAGATCAATGTTGTCTGTCATTTGTAAAATGAGGAAACAAGTTTTCTCTCTTTGGCTGACTTCACATTTCTATAATTTTAAAACTACCACAAATGCAAGCCTCTTTTTTGGCCCAAAGACTAAGTCTCAGTGCCATCATCACTTGTTCAGTCCCGGCCAGGGGACGAACCCACATATGACCCAGCAGACCTCATCTGTCTTTCCCACTGCTCCCATGCTTCAGCAGTGTATTTCAATCAGTCTGCCTGTTCTGCTCCCCACTGTCTCTGGAGAATGCTCTCACCACTGCACCTCTGGCCTACACCCCATCAATGCAAAAAAATGATAATAAAATGATTTTTTAAAGCCCATGCATATTATTGTCAAAATATATGATAAAACTATCACAAATGCAAATTATTGTTATAGTCTCTTAGGTGGTCAGAAGCAAGGTAGAAAAGCAATCAATTACCAAAACTTAATCAAAAGTATCTGGGCCCTCCCTGGTGGTGCAGTGGGTTAAAGCACAGCACTAGGAAGCTAAAGCCACTTCAGCATGAGTTGGGTCCCTGCCCTGGAGGTGATCCACAGGTGTGGCAGACCTCTCCTGACCCACCTGCTGCTCCCCTCAGCAGTGTTCTTCATCAGTTCTGCCTGTTCTGCTCCCACCCTCTCTCGTGAATCCTCTCACCTCCCCTGCACCTCTGGCCTGTGCCTCAGTCCTGTATGCATAAATGGATGGATCTTTTAAAAAATCTGCTCACAGTTTAATAAGATCAGTTTAACTAATAAGTAAACCAATAAACATTCCACTTTTAAGAACAAGCTCAGATCAGATGGCATTTTGAATAACACCCAAAACCGACAACCTCTCTGAAACCATTTACTCTCAAAATAAGATCGAGAGGATTTCCCAGTCTCCACACGGTCTCAAAATATAAGGGTGAGAGGCATGAGTGCCAGAACTCCTTATCAAACAGGGAAGTTGAAGGGACTGTGTTCACCCAAAGTAACTACACAACCTCAAACCTTAGACTAAAGCATGAAGTAACTTGGTATTATTAGTGTAGACACCAATAGATGCAGAATCCTGGGCTACATTAACCAGTTACCAATGAGGATTTTGATAGAAATGTGACCATTTTTCCAACTTTTCTTTTCCCCCCTCCTCTCCCAGTTCCTTGTTCTCACTACACGTACAGAATCTTGGGGACCAGCACATCCTTGTTTGATACTAACTCACGTGGTCTACATATGAAGAATCAAATGAGATGCTTCATTATAAATGCTTCTACTATCAAAGTGTGAAAACACATTTGAAAATGTGCCACAGATTGTTTCTAGAGTGGTGGGGGTAGTTTTACCCACTGTGTGATTACCTTGGGTCTGAAAAACAGCTCTAAACATGACATTTTAGAAGCACTTGGAGATTTCATATTTAAACTTGCTTGCTGACTAGTCCATACTGAATACAATACATATTCAGTTTGACTTCTTTAATAGTTTTATCCCATGACTGTTACCTTTCACAAAGCTCAAACTACAAACTTATTTTTAACTGACAATGAATCCTTCCAAAACAGTTACCTAAGTTAAGAAATTGAATTTTACAATAAACTTTTCATAATGCTAACTTGTAGGTTCATAATTGCTTTCATTTTATTTGCTGTGGTCTTTTTACACATTTTCTCAGATTCTACAATGCTAAAGTCATCACAGGAAATACAAGAAACACTTTAGACAGAGCTAAAACAGTGGTAAGAACTATGCAAAGTCAACCTTCAATTCAAATTCCCTTTGAAGATAACTCCACTTAAACAAAAGTAAAACAAATTTCTTGACACACATTTTCTTCCAGAAATTTCTTCCTTGTTTCTGTCTTCCGTTCATTATGCCACTTGAGTGACAAGCTTTATGGTTATTTATCCAGTATCCACTTCCCTTTTCGCATTTCTTAATGAAACTGACTTTGTTCAGACATCCCTCCCTTTCCCTCATTTCACATTGGAAGCCTAGGGATGGGCCTAATTTTCTTCAAAACAACAGTACCACTGACTGGTTTAAGAACTTAATGCAGCCAGGACATGGCATTCTCTTGGGAACTGTTATGCTAGACACAAGAAGGCACTCAATAGCTATTCATTCCCGCTGCTCCCCATCTTAAGGAAACTAAGTGTCAATGGCTTTTCCCTGGCCTACTGAATAAAGCCTAAACTCAACATTCAACACCCTCTATTATGCTTTTACTACCTTTTTAGCCCCTGTTCCTTTGTAAGCATCTCCTGCTCTAGCAGTTAGAAGCCCCTCCGTGTTCTACTTCATATCCTTTGTCCAGGCTACCCCTTTGGATAGTAAAGTTCAACCACTCCCAATTAGCCAATTCAAATCTTACCCATTCAAAGTCCAGATCAAAAGTAAACTTTTCCCTGAAGTCCTCCCAGATCATCTACTAATAAACAGCATATATCCTTTCCATAACTCATCGGTGCATGCTTACAGCCTGTTCTAAAGCAGCAAACTCTGTAAGAGCTGTGGACAAACTTTGCATTCTACCAACATCCCCACCAGACACCTCAGTAAGCGTTTGTTGAACAAATGAAGTTTTTGAGGATGAAAAATGCCTCTAAGGAACAGATAATTACAAGGCTAAATGTCCTTGGCAGTCTTTAAAAACACCCTAGTACAGCTTAGGAATAGTTATGCTAAATGAAAAGAAACAAATCAGATGACCTTGTAAGGCTGATTCTGCAAATTACATCAACTGTCCCAAAGTATTGCCTAATAATTCAAAAACAGATTATATACAAACGGTATTTACAATAGAATGGCATTTATTGTAATATGAAAGTTGATGTTATTTAAACAAAAATTTCAGCTGCTCCTGAAGTATGTATAATACTTTCAGGTATGCCCAAGGGGTTACATAAAGTATCCATTTACTCTAGCTTATTTCACACTGCAAGAACGGACAGAGAAAAATGTTGGCCTTCTCCCACTGGTAACAAAATTAATTTGAAAGCATGACTTCATATCATGTACATATTGATATCACTTAATTATTTCCTACACATTATGGCTAAAAATCTCAATTTTTATAATTTTATTTGCTGATTTCTAAGGGAAAGTAATAAAAGAGTTTTGTATTTCTTTCTCCCCTACTTCAATTGGAGCAGGCTAAAATCAAGTTATACATGTTACATGGGTACATATCAGTTCAAATAAGACCATAAAACTATGGGAAACTACTGCTATCTCTAGGGGAAAAAAAGGGGAGTTAATGTCAATGTTCCCTAAATCATTACACCTCTTTTTAAATAGACCAGAGTATAAATCTCACTAAATCTCGACAATCAGTTAAATGGGAATGAGACAGAAAACTCAATTCCACAGAATAGTGCACTCACCAAAAAGGGCACTGTAAACTATAATAATCAGCTTATTATATATGATGGCAATCAAGTAAAATAAAATGTAAGAAAAACTGTACAAGATTAGAAAATTAAATTTAAATTTTAAACCGTTAACGAGAAATTTAAACATGTTTATTTCTTTCGTTCTAATATTAGCAGACTGTATGTATTTTGTAAGCCAATTTAAATCCCTTGGGGAAGAGGCCAGCGTATACCAAAAATCCTGTTTTCGAATATAGAGTTGCACACTGTATAAATAAAGATCACATTTTCAGTCAGTGCCTACTCATACTTCTTAAAGGTTATAACAAAGCTAACAACTTAAAAGTTTCCCCAATTATTTTTCAAAGCATCTTCAGTTTTCCTAGAGCTGCCTCCTATCGGACACTGATTCTCAATACTGCTTTGAACTGGACTCTTCAGGGAGGTCCTTAGGCAAACGTGAGCACACAGCAAGGTCAGAGCTGGGTCCTGGATGGGCAGTAATCGAGTAGCCGCAGTTACCTCTCCCACCAGCGAACACCTGAGCTGGGCGGATAGCGAGCCGGGAGGCGCATCCGCGGCCGGTGGGAGCGCGAGCCCTGCCGACAGCAACATGGCCCCTGAGAAACTTAAGGTTCCCAAGACGTGACACAGGCAAGAAAAAAAAAAAAAAAAGCTGTATGCAGTCCCAGGGCAGATTTTCCCGGCTCGCCGGCCCAAGCTGACCCCCCAGAGAAGGGCAGGGCTCGGGCTACTCACCGTGCAGAGAGAGGAGCAGCAAAGGCGCCAGAGGGGAGCCCGGAGAAGTCATCCCCGGGCCGCAGGGAGCGCCCGCCGCCCGTCCAACTCCCGGTCGCTGCAGCCGAGGCTCAGGCCGGGCTCTCGGCGCTGCCGGGGCAGCCGGGTCCTCC